CATTGGGTCGGGGCAACCACCGAGAAGGCGCTCATCCGCGTGGGGGCCAGACGGCATTGGCCAGCGGATGGAATTCGGCGGAGGCCTAAACGATGAGATCTAATGGGTCGTGTGGAGGTGATCGGCAGTAGGCGGTCTCTCAAGGACACATGCATGCGCATGTTCCTTTCCCAACGAATGGAGGAAAGGATCGTTTTCACTTAAGAGGTTTAAGGAGTGGCGGATCTGACAGTTGTAGATGCTGGAGTCAACATATGGCCCACTCACCCTTCCCTCCAGGGGCCTTTCCAACAGCGCCTCCCCCAGGGATTCCGGATCCGCAGCAGGATTGTCTCTTTCCTGGACACCTTGGAAAGATCCTGCATGTCAACCACAATGAAGGCGTGGAACTCTCCCAGTTGGCTGGTCCCTGGAGTGCAGAAAGAGAGATAATGTGTTAGCCCCCCCGTTTTGTCCAATTTCTGAGAGCTTAAATTAGGCACAGCAGCTCCTGGGAAGCCAGGTGAGGGTGGTGGGAGGGGCTTCAAAGAGGGGCAGTTGCTGCAGGGAGGATGATCTCCACCCACCGACATCACTGCCCTGCCTGGCGGGAGCGTGCAAGGAATTTGTGGGTCCCAATCCGAGCCGGAATGTCATAACAAGGACACCAACAACACCTTTGTAGCAGAGGTGGTATTCAACCGGTTCGCACCGGTTCGCCCAAACCGGTGGGAGAAATTTTGCCCAGTTTGGCGAACCGGTACGATGGCCAGCTGGTCACGCGCCAGAACCGGTCCTCCTGTCTCCGGTTGCTCACCCTGCCCATCTGGTCGGCGCTCACTTGAGCCGCCTCTTTGCATACCGGCTCTGAAAGAGGGTGGCGGCTGGCCGGTCCGCTTGGACTTGCAAGGCAATGGGATGTACATGCGTGAAGAAGATGGGGGCCATGGCAGCCACTTATTCACCGACCGACCGGAGGCCTTTTCAGTCGTCTTTGAGTGCCAGTATTGAAAGAGGTGGCGGCTGGGGGGCCTCTTTGGCAGTCAGCTGGTTCCCAGCCACGGCAGCTGACTGGGGGCCGCCGAAAACGTCGGTCAGCTTGCCTTCCGGACTGGACCAGCTGCCGCGGAAGGTAAGCAACCAAAGAGGCAGTGGTGGAGGAGGAAGCAGGGAAATGGGGACGAGTAGCTAAGGGAGGGAGGGGGTAGATAGGGAAAAAATCCTTACAAATTTCCTACCTTTTCCTGTGGGCGTGGCTAGCAGGGAGGCATGTGATTGAGTGGGTGTGAGTGATGTCACGTTGGCCACACCCACTCAGTCACATGCCTCCCCCAACTAGCCACACGCACCAAACTGGCAGCGAACATTTTTGAATCCCACCACTGGCTTGTAGGGAAAGCAGTTGGCTTATTTCAGGAGCAGAGACGATGACCCGGAAAGTTCCGGATCCAGAAATATGAGATTTTTATACAGAAAAATGGTCCTTCTTCCTGGGGTTACGGAGTTTGAATGTTGTCTGTGGTGTTTATCCTATGGTTGTGCGGTTATGAAGCTCCCCTGGGAGACAGTTTTAATTAGCCTTGTGTTTATAGACTTTCATCTTTGATGTCTGGATTAAGTCTGGGTAATTTACTTGCGGCTTTTGAGGAAGTTTGGGTAAAGGGTTATTACCAGTAGTCTTCGACCAGAATTGAGCCTAAAATTTATCTTGCTAAGCAACACAGTTCTTAAGTGAGTTTTGCCCCATTTTATGACCTTTCTTGCCACAATTGTGAAGGGAATCCCTGTATTATTAAGTTAGGAACATGGCTGATAAGGGAATCCGGCTCCAACATCGACTCTGTGTCAACTTCTAAAGTTGTCATGGTGAGGAAAGGGGGGGAGCACAGTCCACGCACACTTTCGGTTAGAGTCCGGATCTCAGATTACCCCAGCAGACTTGGGAGGGGTGCACCTCACTGGGCAATGTGATTTATGACACAGACTGAAGGGCGGGAAGGAACAGGGGTAAAGTGAGGGTCCGAATCTCCGTGGGGAGTTCGTTCCAAAGGGCCGGAGCTGCAACAGAGAAGGCCCTCCCC